TCTGAAAAGGTATGAAGATTTCGTATTCATGTGCTTTCATGGTATGTACCAGAAGTTATGTATGCATGGAACTAATTTTTTTCTCACTATGGGTTTTGTATTTACAGTAGGTCTGTTGCAATATTTTTGTCTTAACGGAGTGTTCAAAACCAGACCCATTAGGAGAACAACGTTTATTCCATAAGGACATGCGAAGCTACGATATGGTTGGCTTTTAGCCCGTCCAAGTCCGAAACATCTAATAAATCAAAACTTGACAAGTTTCTCGCTGGTGAAAATATTACTCTCAACTGCTTTATTTCTGGCGAGGGAGTAAACAATATTTTTGATGTGGAGACACCTGACGCTAATAATAATCAAGTTTCTTCTATGGTAAATGGAATCAAAGGCCGTCGCCCAGATCTTTTTCGAGATACTGATTCGAGCAGGATTGTGTCAAAGACTCTATGGGTGACGATGTCATAATCCTCACCTTAAGGATGTCTTGTGCAATCTCAAAAATTCACCTATAACCAAATTATCTTCTGGCGTATCCTTAATACCTTCAACAAAGGTAGGTAGTTTATTATAATCGTCGGTCTTCAAGCCAAAAAATGCTTTCATCTTCGGGAAAGTATACGGAGAGAAGGGTTGTTATGCTATAAAAGCAGCCGAAGGCGCCGTGCATAAAATCAACGGATTAGATATTTGATGGAATCGACACGCGAAATATCCTATACTTACACGTATCCACAACTAATTCTAGATCCACCTTGGGGTTAGCAGTCTCAGATAATGCAATAAATCTTCGTCAGCAGAAAATTGAATAACTTTACGCAATCTCCACCGTATCACTTTCTACTGTTGCACTCTGAGAACTTGAGCTTGCCTGGTCTAATTTTTTACGCATCTTACCTGTTGAAATTTTTCTCTTCAAGCCTACGCCACCTATTACAAGACCACTTACGATATGCTCGTTTTCTGTCCCGTCCGGAAACGTTAAATATCCGCAAAGCTTCTTAAAACCTTCCAACGTTACCATTTCTCGGATCACTGTCCATTGAAAATTCGCACTCTATCGTTTCTAACATATCACTAGCGTAAACGAACTGAAGCTACCCGTTGTGAATTTATTTCCCGCGTCATTTATGGTGTGGCATCAATATAAGGTTTATCCTCAGTACGAAATCTCAGGAAGTCATGGTAAAGGTCCTGTTGATTTGATTGGGCTATAAAGGTAGGAAATATCATCATCACAGTCACCGAGGCGAATAAAGGGGATATCAATCAAGAAATTGCACAGAATGCGATCCAACTGCAGACTTCCATTCAGCGCAATCCTAAAAACGAACTGATGATACGGCAGGTTTGCACGAAGACGTAATGTACGAGATTGTATCTGCTGTGGATTGGGTAATAATCAAACTAGTTTCTAGCTCTGATAATAATAGCGAAGGAAAAGTGGATGTATTGTTACAGTAAGTTCGTTGTCATCCTCTCCATTACCAATAAACAAGGCTATATTGACCCATGACGACTTGGTGGAGCCTATCAAGGACTTGTTTGGGAAAAACAAGTTAGTGTTTGATAGTCAGATCGAATCACAGGAATTATTGAAGCGAGTAAAAACGGATAAATAGGATAGAGTATTAGCATAGAACATTATGTACTACGGGCAAAATCCCGAGCTTTGTATTTATTTTTCGTACGTATTAATAAAAAATTTTCCTTGGCTAAATTTTGCTGACGGGACGTCAGGAAAACATGTGATTTTTTATTTTGAATACTCCGTATACAGTGCATAAAAATTTTCGAAAATGGAATCCGAGATTGACTCGCTTAGGCAAGAAAATGCTAGATTCATGGCTAAGGTTACTGGGTTGAGGCTGAGAAAATGGAGTTGAAAAAAACTATAGCGAATTCTTCAGCTGAGATGGTAAACTTAACGCTAACGCTATAATCGTGGAGAAATATCACTAAACTCGAGTCTGAGAATGCAGAATTTAGGGTTAGATTACGAAGTTAGAACAGGATCATGGACAGATGCCAAGTGACCAAAGGGAAATAATTCTAATCTAACTTCAATTCCAGGGTCGCTCAAGCAAGTCGCATGATGACGAACCATCAGAGGACAAAGTGATGGACAGTTTCTTGGACTCTGAAATATTTTTATGGAAGTCTTATTTTATTAATTTTAAAAAATTCGTTTTGGGCTTGGAGAACACGTGACAGAAATTTCCCATTGCGATTGGTACCTTGGCATTTCAGGAACATCATGGTTGGTCTAATATAAGAAAAGGTTAGTAATGAGATAAAGCAACGCAACAAGGAAAAGAAACTTCTGCGTGAATCGAAGTTATCAGATAGTACGGAAACCTTCCCGCCATCTACTTCACTGATGTCTCCAGAAGAATCAATTTCTGGTGATGGGGCGTCAGGAAAATAATTGCCAAAATTCGGATATATTGCAAAATATAAACCGCTTATATGAAAATGCATGTATTGCAGAAAATGAAACAGTAAAGGCTAATCAGACAGAAATTTTATGCTGGAGTAGTTTTATTGTAGGACTAGGTAAAAGTGTAGATGAAATTGTGATCAAAGAAAAGGTGGGTATGAAAAAGCACAAAGGGCAAATTTACGATTTTATTATTGCACATAACCCTGGTACTAAGCGAGAAACTTTATACCAACGTATCGCTCTTTTTTTTCGAATCTGCAGAAAATGCTATGCAGATATAGGCATATGATCTAACTACGCGGTACGCCACTGTATCATGTAATTGTGTATAACCACTGTCATTTATTATTAGCTACAAGAGTAGGTCATAATTTTTTTTGTTAGCAAATCTAGCTCTGGTATATTTTTTATTATGCAACTTGAATTATTAAAAAAGCTCCCCTGATTTACATAACCAAAGGCATTTTGTGGATCGAATGAAACGAAAAAGGATAATATATAATTATTCCTGGCTCGGGATAAAAAATCCCCATCAAAGAACTTTCCCACCCTGCAGATCGAAAGATCAATACACTATATTTTATTAACATAGACGGCTTAAAAACATGCATGTGAACTTGATCGACAGATCAGCTATTAGAGGGATAATTGGGGAGAAAAATAGCCTTATGATTTTATTCCCAGAATGGCTAATTTACGCAAAATTATTCATGTGTAATTATCTGAATTTTTATAAATACCCACCATAACTTCATTCACAATATCCTAATAAGCTTTGAAACGAACTGCGCCACGAACGAGAAGTAGTTAATAGAATATTCGGTTATTTTCTTCAGCAGACAGTAATACCGAAATTTTATTCAATGGATGGTGTTGGCTTCGATAGACGCAAGTGCACAACCGTATAGATGTTTACGTGAACTACATATCTTTATAGAATTAAACCCCTGTATCATGCTGTCTTTTTTGACAATATATGTAATTTTATTAATAACACGGATTTACTTTCTCTTGCGAAGTTCCTAAGGTCAAGCTTTTATAAAAAATAGTTTTCATTACTTAAAACCGTTGTGGAGATATGGGATATGGGAATACGCTAACTTTTTGTTTTTAAGTACAACCGTAAAAGCACTAAGTCCTGATCCTAAACCTTTTTTTTTTCTTTTCAGCAGATAGACATGATATCATTTTCACAATTACTCCCAGATCTATATTTCGATGCGATTTATCTCTTCCAATTATACAGGCGCTGATGGATAAATAAAGTTAATAAAAATTACGCAAAACTACTTGTGATCTAATACATTTGAACATATTTTTTCTACTTCGCTCTAAAAATAATTATGTCTGACCTTGCAAAGCAACGCCTTGTGGAACATCTTTAAAGACTACACACTTATTATTCTTCTTAGCGCATGTTTCTTGATTTATGTCATCAGAAACCAATTCTCCAATGACCTGATGGCCTTGCCATCATGATAATAAAATCGCTAAATGAGCTTTTTGCACGTACATGTATGTCCGAAATTAATGAAGTATTACTGCGGAAATCGAAAGAATCCGTCTACTTACCGCAGAAGTTAATACTAAAATTGCCAATGAACTTTCCACAAGTTAAAGCATGCTAAATCTTTACCTACTACATATCTTTCTGAAAATAATTCTACAGAACTTCAGGAATCGGGACTGAAAAAATGATGTGATTATAAAAATACTATAAAGAGAGTTTTTTTAATAAGTTTATTAATAACTTTGAATGTGCTTATAAGGGGGGATGTGAATATATCTATGGTGACTATAGAGGAAGTCAACTATTATTATTTAAATATATTTATATAATTTATAATATTAAATTAAAATTAATTTTAAGATTTTTAAGGTATTTAATATAAAACTTTCTAATATATTTTTTTTAACTTATTAAAGGTAAAATTAAATTTTCAATTTTATATACTACTGTATTACTAATAATACAGATTATCTTATATATAGATCAATTATAATTCCATTTAAATATGATTTTTGTAAAAATTTAATTCCTTGCTATTTACAATTTTCTCATTTTGCTACGGGTTTTAAATATACCATACAATTCATTATTTGAATTTAATTTCGGCCAAAGTCATCATAATTCTGGGCAAAATCATCATAACGTTACTTATTTACAGGGGTTGTTTAATTTCGGAATTGTATTATGTATAGTAAAGGGTACAGCGTGGGTGACTGGGTGTGGTGTACGTACGAACTGACGTAAATGGTAGGATGTACCACTGTACGACCTGTACGTTAAGGATTGAAAATAGTGATTATCATTAAAAATAACGCAGTTTTATGAAAACACTTAATACACGTGGTATTAAAATTTTTATATTTTTAAAAGAAATTTTTTTATTTTTAATTTTTTGAATTTTTTTTTTTTATAATAATAATTAATAATTTATGATATTAACTAATTGCATTTTACAACTAATATTAAATTATACAATTTGTTGATGTGTTGGTATGTACAATCTTTTACATTATTATTATACGAATATATATTAATGAGTATTGATAAGTGAGATTCAAATATAAATATAAATATAAACCTTCAGCCATAAAATAAAATGCAATATTAAACTAATATACAATACCCAATTAAAAAAAAATATTTTCTATTCCCAAGCCAATTATATACCAAAACCCAAATCTAATTAATAATATCATAGACTATTTTTATAACTATCTCTATATAAAGGACGATGACGATTAGGAGTGATAGCAGGACGTTTAGCTAACCATTCTTTTCTTTGATTACTACTAATATTATTACTAAAATTACTAGTAATACTAAAATTACTCATATTACTATTAATACTATCTCTTTGACTAGCAATACTATCTCGATGAATTGGGACCATAGGAATATTAATCGGAGAAGGTGAAGAAGGTGATGATGGCATTGATGATGAAAATCGGGGTGAAGTAGGGCATGAAGTAGTAATATTTGACATAGTAAAAGTTGGAGAAATTGGTCGGTTGTAACCATTAGTGATTAAAGTAGAAGTATCTGAAAAAATAGTGTGACTAGAAAAACTAGTACTACCCCTCTTTCCACTAATCCCACTAGGTTGTGAAATTTTATCATTTTTATTAAGTATTCCACTAATTGAATTAACATTTCCTTCATTATCTTCATTATTAATATCACTTTTTGGTGTATAAGTATTGTACATTTCTTCTTCAACAATATCATTTTCCACACCTGTCAATTTACTATTCATTTTATTACTATTCCTTTTCACTTTAGGGTTTCCATTAAAAGTGCTAACACTAACTTTCGTTTCATCATTATTACGAGAATGATTTTTATTGGTAGAGTTTTTTCCAGAATTACCTGGTGTAGTAATGATATTATAAATCATTAACCATTGAGTTATGTGTAATATTAGGGGGAATGTAAAATACCATATGCTCATATAAAATAAATTAATCTTAAAATTAAATATTGTACTCGTTCGATGATATAATCCATATAATATTAATGCTGGTATATATATAATTACTGTTATTATTTGTCCATAAACTGGTAATGATAACTATGATATGCGTAAGATAAAAAAATATATATAATTAATATTTTTTTTTTTTTTTTTTTTTTTTTTTT